ATCAGAATATTATTATGTTGCTTATTAGAAGTTCATTATATTCTAGTTAAAGAATATTAACTAAATTGCATGCCTGTGTAATTCTACTAAAATTGTATTTCTGTATTCTACATTCTGTTCTCCTTATAGAAAACAGGAAATTTCAGTAATAAATGCCTAAACTTAAAAAAAAATCCAGTGCTTTCTTGTAGTAATTCTGAATAAAAGTATTCTCTATTCCACTTTAGTTCACACTTTCTACTCTGTGAAACTGGAATCCTACATTTTATTAACAGCTTTTTATTTCAGTGCTTTTGGAAATTTCCTTATGTACTGCCTCTACTCAAAAGTAGAGTTTAATGACCCCATGTGTCCCATTCCCTAGTTTCTTACCTTTTTCTCATTCTTTAAAAAATCTATAATCTGCCTGGTGCAGTGGCACATGTCTGTAATACCAGTGGCTCAGGAGGCTTGAAGCAGAAAGCAGAAAGATCAAAAGTTCAATGCCAGCCTCAGCAACTTAGTGAGACCCTGTCTCAAAATTAAAAATAAAAAGGGCTTGAAATGTTGCTCAGTGGTTAAGTGCCCCTGGGTTCAATCCCCAGTACAAAAATTAAAATCTATAATCTCTTTTTAATCAAATTTTGATTTGTCCTGTCATTTCATCCCTAAGCATTTCAGTGTCTATGTGAAAGAAAACAAAATGAAAAACAGATATTTTCTTAAGTAACCACAATGCATCTAACAGTTAACAGTTAGCAATAATTCTGTAAGAGCATCTAATATCCAGTCTGTATGCAAATTACCCCAATTATCTAACAGAATTCTTTAGGTAGTTTTACAGTTAATTTGATCCAGATCCAAAATAGGCCCACTCATTGTAATTGGTTGTTTTGTATTTATCTCTTAACCAAAAACAGATATTCTTCCTCCTCTTTTTGTTTCATGCCTTTGTCTTGTTGAAAACAGTTGGTCAACTGTCTTTTAGTATTCTTGGGACTAATTTGTTCTTCTATCTTTCTTATAGACTAGAAGTTAGATCAAAGCCTTATTTACATTCAGGTTTAATTATTTTATTGGCAAGAATTCTTCATAGGCAGTACTATTTTCTTTTGCTTTAAATGAGAAGGTAAATCATGTTTGATTGTTGTACTTTCAGCCATGCTAAAATTGATCAGTAGATTCAGGTGGTAATGACCTTATCAATTTAGCATCCCTATAGGATGCTGAAAACAATGTGATTTTTGCCTAAACCAGTTATTTTAATAGGATTTGCAAAATGACCAGTTTCTAATTGTATCACTACCTCTGTCTGCATTTATTAATGGACATTAACAGAATTTCTCCTTGTATGCCAGAGGTGTTTAGCTAACTTGAAATATGCTTCATATTAGAAAAGCAGAATAAATAAAGAGAAAAATAAACATCAATTTTGACAGTAATGAATTGGTACCCTGGCAGCCTCCAGTGGTATACGGTGAGTTTTGTTTCTTTTTCTAAATATAATTATGAACTCATGAATTTTTATATATCAGTGTTTTAATAAACTGCAGGAATTATTTACCATGTCTCATCTTTGGCCAGCGGGAGCCCCTTAAGACTGGTTTCTGTGTCCTTTTGATATAATTCCATTAGCCTTTGATAGCTTCATTGCTTTTTGGCTCAACAAGATGTTCCAAATCAGACTGAAAATATAGTTGCTTGCCTAGTATGTATGAGACCCTGGGTTTGATTCCCAGTACCAGAAAAAAAGGTGTTCCAGGTTGATCTTAATCCATTTCTTTTCCTAGACATGGAATTATCTATTTTTAAAAATTATTTAGTTCTTGTTAGTGGAGAATGATGTTTAGAAATACAGGTGCTACTTATTACTGGGTTGTCATTTCTTCTAGTATTTACCAGTAGATTCAGCCAGAACTAAGGTTTTTTTTTTGTTTTAAAGCAAAAGAGATCATGAGTTCACATTGACATTTCTAAATGAAAAAATTAAGATTATAGGCTTCTCTTTTATAAGGTTAACTTAGCTGTGTTTTATTAAAAAATATATAGGAAGCTCTTCTCTGTCAAGACCTTTCTAAACTTGCCAGTCATATCTTTTTTTATTTTAAAAAAAATGTTTGGTTGTAGATGTATGCAATACCTTTGTTTTATTTTTATTTATTTTTATGTGGTACTGAGGATCTAACCCAGTGTCTGACACATGCCAGGCAAGTGCTCTACCACTGAGCCACACCCCAGCCCCCAGATCTTTTATTTTTAATGAAAAAAATTTAAATATAACAAAACAGAATAGTATAACAAACCCCCATGCCTATCACCCAGCTTTAACAATTCCCAACTACGGTAGTTAGCTTTCCATTATTGTAACAAAATACCTGAGATAATCAATGTACTAAAACGGAAAGGTTTGGTTTTGGCTCACAGTTTTGGAAGTTTCAGCCCATCACCAATTGGCCCTGTTGCTTTAGGCCTATTGGAGCACAGCATCCCATGGCAGGAGCATGTGGCAGAGGAAGCCTGTTCACCTCATGGGCTGGAATGAAAGGGAGAAAGAGACCAGAGTCCCACAATCACCTTTGAAGGAAAGCCCCCAGTGACCTAAGACCTCCCACTAGGCACTTCCTCTTAGAGTTTACACTACTTCTAAATAGCACCATGGTCTGAAGACCAAGCCTCTAACACATGGGCCTTTGGGGGACATTTAATATCCAAACTATAGCACCAACTCACAGCTAATATGTTTCTTATTTAATTTTTTTTTCATTTTATAACACTTTTGTTCTGAAAATCTTGGTTCCTTATAATATGCTTTAACTTATCCTATAATATGCATGTAATAGTTTCAGAATAACAGCAAATTTTACTACTAAAATTGAGATTACTGAAATTTTAAGATTTCCTTCTATCTTTTTATCCTTAGACCATATTCCACTGAGGGTGTACAGGCAAAATATTGCCTCGTAAGGTTGGTTGGAATAATTATTTTCTCTGTGTGGTCATGTCACTAACTTAATATGCAGTTAGATTCATTTGTTTCAGCTTGTTTTTACTTTTTGGAACTGCTTTTGCTTTTTAGCCCCCATATTTAATTTTGTTTTTTGAGGTGTTGATATGATATCCAGTGTCAAAAATATATTTAGAAAGGTATATTCAGAGCAGTTTCACTTCTATTCCTGTCCTTTCCACCTGGCCCCCTCTTTTCTCCTTGTGTTAGTCAGCTTTCCATAACTGAGTACTTAAAGAAGGAAAGATTCATTTTGGTTCATGGTTTCAGTCCACTGCCATCTGCCTCCAGTATTTCTGGGCCTGTGGTGAGACAGAACATCATGCTGGGGAGTGCATGGTGGAACAAAGCTGCTCACCTCATGGTGGCCAGGAAACAGAGAGAGCTCACTTTTATAACAAGGCCCCAACCCCTTAAACCCCTTAAGCTATGAATCCATAAGTGGGTTAATCCATTCATGTAGTCAGAGCCATCATGATTCAGTCACCCTCCAAAGGCCCTACCTCTGAACACTATTGCACTGGGGACCAAGCCTTCAACAAATGAGCTTTTGGGGGGATATTTAAAATCCAAACCATAACACTTCTTAGTTTTTTTACCTCAACATTTATCTTTTTACATGACAATCAAACTTTCTAAACAGATCCATGAGTTGAAGTAGGTTCTCTAAACTAAGAACCTTTTCCTGTTAAGCCTCCCTTTAGAATTGTTCCTACTTTTACCTCATTTATCTCTTGCTCCATTTGATGCCCTCTTAATGTTATCTTCACAGAGCCTGCTGAGAGCAAAAAAAAAAAAAATGTCCCCAGTTACCCTCTTTTCTTTACCCAGTACTTATCTTGATCTATACACTGTGATGCTGAAAAACTCATACTTTAATTTGTTCCGTGTCTAAGTGCATAGTTGACTGCTATATATCCTTCCTTTTCTGTATATGTTGTCTGTATTAAATCATAAGCCTTCAGTTATTTTGGTGCCCCATGTAGTGTGATCTTTTCTTTCTCATTCTCGTGCTTTGTCCTGTGGCACATGGCTACACTCAACTTAGTATTCCATACTGATTCACCTTGATATTTCATGCTTAGTACTTCATTATTCTATGTTGTTTTGTATTTGTTTAATGAGATTATGTCTTTTTAAAAAGAAATTTGTAATTCCCTGGAGGTCAGGACTTCCCAATCACTGTAGGAAATAAAAATTAAATCTGTTAGGGATGCAGTGAAATTTGAATAAGTATTAATTGAATTAAAGGGCATGTTTTGCTCGTGTAATTTATGGCTATGCTTGCCAGCAATTTAACACCAGTAGTGCCAATTCTACATTTCAATCCAAGCTTACCAAAGATGAAATCATGAATCTCTACCCCAAAATTTAAGGTACAGAGAGTTTTTAAATTGTTCAAATTAATGTAAGGAAAAGGAGACACACATCCTTCTATTCAAAGGATTTAAAAAAAAAAAAAAAAGATCTTTGTTCCTAGAATGTAGCTTTGAGACACACTCAAGGAAAATACTTTCATATGGGCATTGGTGCCTTGCCTCAATTCCTATTTGGCTTAGCTCCATTGTTGATGGCCCAAAACTTGGCTGGTAAGTAGGAGAGTTGGAAGCAAGGCTGGCTGCCTGGCAAGACCTACTTATGTTGACTTGGATTGCTTTTGATCTTATTTGCTATTTTATCAAGTATTCTTTGTACTGCTAAATCAGTGTAGATCCTGTGGCTTTTATAGAAGAATAAACCCCAGAAAAGCCAGACTATTTACAACACTTTAAAAATGTGACACTAGTCCTATAATAGCACTGCAGCTATTCATCATGAAATGAGACGATGTTAATTTGTTTTATGATTAGTGTAGGAAGAAGAAACTGAGATGATAAGCCCCATCTGTCTACTTCCCTCTTCCTTTTTTCTCGCCCCCAAGGAAAATGCTGGAGATTCTTCAGGGAAGAATACAAAGATTAATTTTAGAATATATTTGTGTTCATACTAAGAAAACACTTCTTGGGTTTGCTTATAGGTCCTGTGATTGCCTTGGAGTTTAATGGAGATGGTGCTGTAGAAGGATGTCAACATATTGTAAATGAGATATTCAATGGGACCAAGGTACAAGACTTCATTACTATATTTCAATCTAAACTTTACTTTCATCTCCTTTCCTTATAATCAAGTAGTATTTTTATCTTTGGTGTTCCTTGGAATTAGAAACAACAGCACATCATAATTCTTAGAACCTATGGTAAATAATTGGGAACTAGTTTTGATTTTTTTCCTTGCCAAACTAAAATTTTTAATTGTTTTAAATGGTTAGAAATTAAGAATATGCTTATTAAAAACCTTCAATAGTACATAGTAAAAGTTTCTAAAGTAAAATGTCATCAAATATCTCTTTATGTCCCTTGCATTTTAAAAAATATTATATATTGAAAAGCATTTTATTTCTAAAATTATATTCTTTAGATGGACAATTTTGTTACACAAGATCATTCTTATTTGCTTCAGTAATTTATCACCAAAATTTGAACTTGAGGACTATCTAGAAATATCACATGTGGGCATTTTCTAAGTGTGGTATGTTGCTGAGGTTGCTCTAAGAATTTTACACTTAAGGAATTTCATCAAAATAAAAGAAAGATCAGTAGAGTTGATGAAGGTGATTGAGGAGGAGGAGGAGGAGGAGGAAGAACAGACAGGAAACGGGAAAACCAGTAGAATGAATCTGACTTAACTTTCATATGTGAGTGCATAGATGAGGCACAGAGGGGCCTGACATTGGGTGTATCGTTGCAGACACTAATTTAAAAAAAAAATATATATATATATATATATATATATATATATATATATATATATATATATAAATGAATTGAAGAGGGATGTCTGGAGTGGAGGGAGGGGAGTAGGGAGTTGTGGGGGAGTGCTAGGGACTAAAATGGAGTGGGTTGTGTTCTATGCTTCTGTGATTATGTCAGGGTATATCCTGGTGTTGTATATAACTAAAATGAAATTTTTTAAAGTAAAAAAAGTCACTATAAACTTTTGCATTTGTATGCTTAAAAGTTTTTCAATAAAACCTTTAATGAAAAGCTTAATATAATAAAAAACCCAAACATATAAAAGAGGATTAAATGAATGAATATGTAATTGGCTTTTTTTTTTTTTTTTTTTTTTGGTACCAGTGATTGAACTCAGGAGCACTCGACCACTTAGCCACTTCCCCAGCCATATTTTTGCTGAGGCTGGCTTTGAACTCACAATCCTGCTGCCTTAGCCTCCCAAGCTGTTTTTTGATAAATATCTGGGAGGAAGTTTTTTATTTTGTCCTATATCTTGAATTTGCAAAATCTAAAGCACTTTTTTCTTCTGTCTCATTTTATTATCACAATAGTACTAAGGGAGAGGGGAAATACCAGATTGAATATAAAAGGAAACTGAGAGATAAAATGGTTATATGACTGAGTCACTTTAGAGCTGAAAGATTTGGAGAGCATATCATCCAGCTTTCTCATTTTACATGTATGGAAACAGCTGAGAGAAGCGTATTAAATTCCAGCACCATACAGCTAGCTTATGATAAAGCTAGAATAGAACCCAGGACTTCTCTAATTCCTTCCTGGCCAATATTTGTAAATATTGTAGGAATGGTTCTATTGAGTACTGCTTTATTGATGTTCAGAAAATAGTTCATTTAAAATTAGTAATGAATAATGGGTGCAGTGGCACATGTCTGTAATCCCAGCTACTTGGAAGGCCAAGGCAGGATTGCTTGAGCCCTGGAGTCTGAAGCCAGCCTGGGCAATGTAGTAAGACCCTGTCTCCAAAAATTGTGGTGTATCTCAGTGGTATAGTGTTTCCTTGGTATGCAGGAGACCCTGGGTTCAATCCCCAGTACCATGAAAAATAAGGAAGACAAAATTAGTAATAACATCTTTAGCAGCTTTGAAAACATAATCTTTAATTTTTCTTCTCAGACTATTGAGATTTCTTATTACAAAATAGAAGAAACAAAGAGTACTTTTTCTTTAAATAAGCTTTCTTATTCAGTAGCTTTCATAATATTTTGCATTAAACAGTAAGATTCCAGGTATAATAAAATAAAACTGAAGTATTATGAAAATGAAGACCTTAATTATATCATAAGTGCTTTTACAAGAGCTTAATTTACATTGCAGCTATTGAAATGATATTGAATGGATTCTACAGAAAATCTACAGATTAAATATTATAAATGATATATTTTAATTCCTTTTAAATAATAAGTTTGTGCCTTTGTTCTGTTGGTGATGTGGCTTTTAAGAGTCACAATATTTATTTTTGTTTCTTCTATATTTAAAATAGATGTTTGTATCAGAAAACAAGGAAAAAGCATCTGGAGATGTAGACAGCTTCTACAACTTTGCTGATATACAGATGGGAATATGAAATGCAATGTGGAACCAAGGACTTGGTATTAAGCCTTTTCCAACTTCTGTGCATAGAGTTTGATAATAAGCTTTTCTGTATTAGCAGTAATTTTTACCAATGCTGAAATTGCTAAAGGTTATTTTTAATAACATGTTGAATATAGCATCATTTACTTGAGGTTCAGAAATAGCTCATTTAAATTAAGTAGTTTTAATCAGCTTAAAAACTATTTAACCTACTTCAGTGAGTTTATGATTTTGTTGCTCTGCAAATAATACTCTCATTAAAAACTGTAAGTGGCTATCAATTTGTGATTTTAATCCTAATTAAATGTTCTTTCAAATCTCTAATAATTTAAACTTTCCAACTTTCCTCAGTGCTCCATGATATTTGTTAGGGATACATTTCATGGCTTATTTTATCTTTTTTGTTAATTTAGAGATATTTGTTACTAGTTGATAAATTAGAATGAACATATGCACATTTTTTCATGTATACATATCCAGTTAAATATTTGCCTCCTAGTTGTATTATATGACTAGTGACATTTTGTACATGGAACTGATATAATACTGTAATATAATTTGTAAACTGAGTTTTTTAAAGAAATAGGCATTTGAAAGCTGGGTATGATGGTGTGTGCATGTAGTCCCAGCTACGTCGGAAGTGGAAGCAGGAGGATCACTTGAGCTCAGGAGTTCAAGTCCAGCCTGGGCATCATAGTGAGATCTCCATCTCAAAAGGAAAAAGAAGAAATAGGCATGTGATAACCAGCTTTGCAAATAACTACTAACTAATGTTGGTATAGCTATTTAAAAACTACTTTATAAGTAGTATGACTATTTGAATAAATTCCACTTTGTTTAGTTTTTTAATACAACTGCTAGGTGACTCATACTTCTTAGTAAGAAATAGTATATGCAACACTAAGACTATAGAGGCCCAATCACCAGCAGTTTTTACAAAGGTAATTGCTGTTTGATCAGCTCTTGTTGGGCTATCAAGATAATTAGAACATAACCTTGTGGCTTTTAGGTAAGAAATACTTAGATATGATGATAAGCTATGCAGGTTATTGAAAAGCTTCATACATTTGATTTTCATTAGATTTGCCATTCATGCCAAGTAATGGTCAATATGGTAAAATCATTTTGGTTGTGTCAAAGCATTATTTCTCAAATCCATCTGACCATAGTAATTTTCCAGGATGCAAGGGAGATATACTTGTTCAGAAATTCACATTTTTACTCACATTCTTGGACCTAATCCTCAGATGCACAGGTTCAGTCTTTAGGAGAAACTTAAGGAGTATGATTTGATCTAAAGTAATTAATTCAGAAGGTGTTGATGGGTTGATCTTGTGAGAAGATACTGAACCTGCCATCCACAACTCATATAGCAGCTAATAGGAAAATGGCTTTTGTGGCACTGTTTTTAAAAAGAATCTGAAATTTAATTCTATTTTGATAAAACTAAGACCAAAAATGGCCACTTGTAAGAATTACTTTTATGACTGTTAACTGAAAATGTATTGTCATGTTTCAAATGTTTTTGGATATATTCAGGTTAACTTATAACTACTATATGGAATTTGTTAACATGCAGAAATAATACATTAAAAAAATTTTCACTTTAAATTAGTATGTAACATTGAGAATCTACACTGTGCCTGGCCTCGTGCTATTAGCACTGCATCATTTAATTTCTTTCTATAGAATCATTTAATTTCTATTCTACAAAATCAATATAATTTCATAAGGCATAAACAAAAATGTTTAATATAATTTGGATCATAATTTACCAATGATCTTTGCAAATAGTGGTCAAGAGGACATTAACTTTTCTCTTAAGCTAAATTAACTATATTCCTTCCTTTCATAATTATATTATTAAGCACTATTCATATTTAAAATAATCATGATACTTTTTTCAAACCTAAAATACAATTTTATGCAAAGCTATGAACTGAGTTCTTTTATCTATCATATTTTAGCAAAAACTCAGGAATATAACTAACACATAAGGGAGATGTTGACTTAAGATTTTCCACTAAACTTAGTATCTGTTAATCAAAGTTAATTTTCTATTCTTCAGTTGGATAAGAGCTTTCAGCCAAGTTTAATTTGTCTTTAAAGACAGTCATTTGGATTCTGACTGTTTGAAAAGATTTTTACAAATAAGTAGTGCTATGATAGTTGTTTTTATAATTCTAAACTTTGATAGTAATCAATGTACTAAATTTGTTTCTGAATACCTTCTGAATTCATAAAAAATAGCAATGAAGACTTAGTAATTTTATTAAGTTGTACATGTTTACACATATTTGTTTATTTCTCTTGTGTTAAAATACTGCTGTTTTGTTTTGCTTCTGCATATTTATGTGTAGCTGTTATATGTAATTTATCTAGTGTTTATAAAATGTGATTTGTAATAAATGTTAAAATGAAAATGGCTTAACATTAATTTTTAAAGAGCACTTTTATAGCATACATTTACTCATGTACATGCCAAAATTTGACGCAAGTTTTTAATACTGAAAACAAAATAAAATGGTCTAGTTCTATGTCTTAGAAGAAATGAGCTGTATGCTGTGTGTGTACATTTGTACACAAGACACTCTGGAGAAATACAAAGGAAGTAGAAAACCTATTTTAATCTAAGGAATTTCCATATAATGCTTCCTTTGCTGATCACATTTTATTATGACTGAATAATTACTAAGATGAGGCATCTTTTTCTTCCATATTAAAAAATTATGATATAATTTCAGGTTTATACAAATTGACATTTTAAAATTACTATCAAATTCATCAACCTTTTATACCAAACTCCTCCCTCTCCTAGTCTGTAAATCAGAAGTACTGAAATGGCAGATTGGTTAGTTTTTAAAATAATATTCTTTATTTTTATTTCTACCAAAAAGGTTCTACACGTACTTTGAGGACATTTGGAACATTGGGGATAAAAGAGAAATCACAAGAAAACAATAAAATTGCTTCCCATCGTATAAAATTCTTGATGTCTAAGATGTATTTTTCTCATTTATAAAGGATATATTTAACTATTCTCTATAGAGAGAGTAGGTATGCAATTAGGGTATGATTATGCCTTCAAAACACATTCTAGAAAATACTTTATCCTTTAAAAGTATAATAAAAAGGCCAAAATTCATGTGAATTACAGTAATGTACTATAGTTTGGATCTGGACTATCTCCCAAAGACCTATATGCTAAAGGCATAGTTGCCCGCATATATGCTATTGGGAGATGGTTGAACCTTAAGGAGGTAGGCCTAGTGGAAGGAAGTTAGGTCATTGGGTATAATAGACCCTTGGAGGGGATATTGGGACCCTGGCCTCTTCTTTCCCTGTCTTTTTTGCTTCTTGGCTCCATGAGATGAGCATCTTTGCCCCACTATGATGTACTACCTTGCCACAGACTAAATTAACCACGGAATGAAACCTCTGAAATTATGAGCTAAAATAAACCTTTCTTACTTAAAAGTTGATTAATAAGCTGGGTGTGGTGGCATATACTTGAAATCCCAGCAACTTGGGAGGCCAAAATAGGAAGATCACAAATCGAGGCCAGCCTCCACAACTGAGTTAGACCCCATCTCAAAATTTTAAAAAGATGGGGTTCAGGTGCGGTGGCACACATCTGAAATCCCAATAGCTCAGTAGCCTGAGGCAGGAGGATCACAAATTCAAAACCAGCCTCAGCAACTTAGTGAGGCCCTAAGCAACTTATTGAAACCCTGTCTCAAAGTAAAAACTGGCTGGAAATGTGGCTCAGTGGTAAATCATCTCAGGATTCAATACCCAGTACCTAAATAAATAAATAAGGCCTGGGGATGGAGCCCAGGAAGCTATCTCCAGTAAACACACACACACACACACACACACACACACACACATGCTGATTTATCTCAAGTATTTGTTACAGCAATGAACTAACATAATGAAAACTTTTTTTGAAAATGGAGTCACTGAGTGTTGGCTTGCTTTTCTCTTTTGGTATATAGAATGTTTGAGGGGAGGTGTAAATAAGCCTTTATAATACTTCATCTCTTTCCTTATATGACATTTGGGCTCTTGGTGGCAAGCTTCAGTAAGATGTTCAGAAATTGCAATTTTTTCCATTTCTAGTGACTTAGTGCTTTCCTGGTGAGGGCTAGTTCTCACCTACAAATAAATTATGAGCATAGGCAGTAAAGAGCCCCCAGCATTCTCACCTTGGCTCTGATCCTCCCTCTGTGGCCTGCCTTCACTGTTTTAATTTAATCTAGTCCACTTGTAATTGGACTAATGAAAATTAACTTGCAAATTGTGTGACAAGTAATTAACTGATGTTTGTAAAGTACCTTGAAAATGAAAGGTACTGTATAAATGTTAAGTATTATTGTGCTGAGCAAATGAGTGTGGTGTTCTTTTAAAATAGTTCAGCTGTGAGGCCACATGCCTGGCTACAAGTAGGCAGCTGAATAGGAAAACACAAGTATAAGAGGCTGTTAAAGCTTAAGTGCTGTTTTCTTATTGATTGATGTACTTTCATTTGTAGGTCAGTTTGTTAGGCTCATTAATAGAACCGTTTAAACTCTTTCACCCTAACTTTTAAACAGATCTTATATTAAATGATTTTAAAATTTATCTAATGAGAGTTGTCCATTTATAGGGCCATGAAGGGTTTGATTTTTTCAATCTGTTTTTTTGCAAATGAGAAAGACAACTGAGGGTTGGAAGTCTAAATGGCCTCTCCAGTTCACCATATAGTAAATGAACTGTAGTGTGGGACTCTTGACTTCCCCTGGTGATTACTAGGAAAATAAGACTCAGCCCAGCAGTCTCCTCCTATGTGAAGCCTTTTCTAACACAGATACAAAGCCCATTCCTTGCTTGGTGCTCACATAGTATTCCATATAGATTTCCAAATGCCTAACACATTATTCCATTTCTTTATCCGTGCCTCTCTTGCTACTCGAAGTGTGGTTTGTGGACCTGCAGCATCAGCACCACCTAAGAACTGATTAGAATCCCCAGCCCCACTCCAGATCTGTTGGGTAATCATCTACTAATAAATATTCAGGGGATTCACATACACATTAAATTTTGAGAAGCTCCATCTTAGACTGTTAGGTCCCCAAGCCCTAGAATCAAGACTTGGAAATCTTTGTATTACTTCAATGGGACTTAGGATCCTGTAAAGTGATCAATGTTTAATACATACTCTTGATTAAATGGGTCATAATCTAGTGTTTCATTCTACAGATCAGATTTTAGTCTCTTTTGTAATTCCTCTCCTTGATTGATTTTTTTGGGGAAAAACAGCCTATAATATTAAGCTACATTTTTTTGGTTTGCTTCATGTTGAAGTAGTAACTACAGTTTCTGCCCACTAAGGCTCCTGGGAAACTTTAAGAATATCAGTAATGTTCTCTGGAAACAGATAAAAGCACGGAAGTTTCTGACTTAAATTTTTATCTGCAGTGTTTTTATATTCAAGCTTCTTTTATTCAATTGGGAAACATATTACATAAAGCCAGAGTGGTGATTTGTTGATGCTGGGACTCAGTTAAAATGAAAAAGCAGTCAGATACTTGCTTTGGGCTTGTGGGAACAGTTAGTCACTTGATCCCTCTCAGATCTGTTATCCTCTTTATCTTTTGACATCTTTCCATTGGGGCGTTCAGGGATGAGCACTGGTATCATCAATAAAATGTGCAAGACTGTCGAAGAAAGTGTTCGGGTAGTTCCAATTTGGGGGGTGAATGTTGCTAACAATGGCTTTTCTTTCCTTCCTAGAATAAAGGCTAAAAATCTAAAATTTGAAATAAAAGTATAATTCTAAATTTACACTCTTATTTACTTATTTTTCTTTCTGTTTCCTCAGTATTAATACATTGATGAGGCTTAATTGTAATTTCTTTTAAAACAATTTTAAAATTTGAGATAGAATTTTGCTAAGCTTCTGAGGCTGGCTTCAAACTTGTAATTTTTCTGCTTTTACCTCCTGAGTAGCTGTGATTACAGGCCTGTACCATTTTATAATTTTCTTATTTAGAAAATATTTCTTTGCATTGAGTCAATGGTAGAAATATACCAGAATTCAGGTGGCATGTTATCATCCACTTCCCATTACTGTTTTAAAGGTAGCATAACACAGAAAAAAGAAAACCATGTGCATTAATGTGGTCCTTAAATTTGAAGAGTCCAAAGCTAGTTTCTGACTTGAGCCAGATCTCAGCTGCTTGAAATACCAAAAAAAAAAAAAAAAAAATGCTGACCTCCTTTACATATCTTTGGTCAGGTATATAGTAAATCCTTTATTGTTAACATATATTTGTAGAGCAAATAAATGCTTGGCAGTTACAGTAACACTGTAGATAAGACAACATTTAAGGCTTATATGGTATTGTTCATGCCAAATCTGATAGTACCACATATAGGTACTGTTGTGATTATTCTTTAATACCTTTATTTTATTTATTTATTTTTATATGGTGCTGAGGATTGAACCCAGTGCCTCACACATGCTAGGCAAGTGCTCTTCAACTGCGCTACAATCCCCGCTCTGTTGTGATTGTTTTCAATAGTATTAAATATAAGGAAAAATGTAAGCCACAGAACACAGTAGATGCTTACTCAGATAGTGTCCTTCCTTCACCTTTATAAAATTTGTTTCTGTGAGTATAATTTTTTAAATTGTTGGGGGGGGGGGAACACATAACACAAGATCTGCTCTCAAGTTATTTATTTATTCATTCATTTATTTATTTTACTGAGGACTGATCCCAGGGTCACTTAACCACTGAGCCACATCCCCAGCCCTTTTTATTTATTTAAATAATTTTGAGTCAAGTTCTTGTTAAATAGTTTAGGGCCTCACTAAGTTGCTCAGGCTGGCCTTGAATTTGTGATCCTCCTGCCTCAGCCTCCCAAGTCATTGGGATCACAGATGTACACCACCACACCCGCCTTACCCTGAACACATTTTAAAATTTACAACACTGTAAGTGCATTTTATGTGTAAATGTTGCATCCCACCTCCTCCAGCATATGTAAAGAAGTACCTCCAACTTTATCTGAATGGCAGAAATTAAATGGGTTTGGGTTTTGAAATGCTTCTAAGATACAGCAACTACTTATATATTAGGCTCTATGTTAAGCAGTGTACATATGAAATCTCTCAGCAACCCTGAAAGGTACTATTACTATCCATGTTTTTATGATTGAGGAAATTGAAGCTTTAGAGTTTAGCTAATTTGCCTATGGCCAAACAGATGCTAAGTACAGAGTCTGGATCCAAGGCCAGAGAGCACTCTAATTCTAAAACCTCTGCTCTTAACCATGGCATTGTAATGCTCAGTAATAATCAGAGTAAAACTAATAGCAGCTGTTTATTGAGCACCTGCTATAATAGCCAGGTATTGTGTTATGTATTTTGCATACATTGAGTCACTTAAACTTCACATCACATGTGTGAAGACTATATTATTGGTCCCTTTATTAAAGTATTTACTTTTTTAGTTGTAGGTGGACACAATATCTTTATTTCATTTTTATGTGGTGCTAAGATTTGAACCCAGTGTCTCACATGTGCTAGATGAGCACTCTACCACTGAGCCACAATCCCAGCCCCTATTGGTCTCTTTTGTAAGATAAAGAAATTGAAACATGGGTCAAGTACTTGTTTTGTTTATGGTCAAATGTTTGAAATTTGGAACTGAGGATCATTCAGAAGGGATTAGACCAAAATGGCTTAGGATATATATGGCCAAGATAGAGTAGAGCCTGAATCCTGCCCTATTACCTGTTTCTAAGAGGTCTCAGGGAAATCTATGCCCAGAGTGTAATACAAAGCAAAGTAACCCTTTATCATTCGCTGGGATTTTGGCCTCAAACTCCAGTATAGAACTGTAAGGAATGAGGCTGATGATAGCCATTTTCCTATGCTGCATAGGCCTGAGGCCCCTGAAGCCCACATTCTAGGTCTGGCTCTTTATCCACTGATGT